ATGACATGTCGTAATATTACGACGTGTAATAATAATTATGACAATTATCTGTTATGGTTTTAAAAAGTCTGTGTAATAATATATGTCGTAAATATAATTGCCGTAATTGGCTATTTACGGCGCCTTGCCCAAAATTTGATAAGCTAATCGAACAATGAATTCTCAAAGTAAATTATACTTCATTTTTACTGGATTAGATTTAGGCATTTTTAATTATTACTGTTATATCATTTTTAGCTGCTATTTTACTGAAATTAATAATTGATATGCGAAGGTTGCAATGTATGCACTTAAATAAGACACACGTTCGTACGTTCCCTTTTCTTCAACTAGCATGGTCATACAAAAATAATTCCACTGACTAATAAACTTAAAGATCAGGCTTTAAGTAAAATAATAATAATCCAAAAGTCGCACGCACATAGTCAATATTTTACCTATGAAGCCACCTTACGCGTATTAACGAAAAGTCTCCTTGCGAAGCTTTGTTCATATCTTTTAACTTAATTTAATAAAGTAAAATTTTTTAGCAATTAGTAATGCTAGAACTCTAATATGAATGGACGACAAGCGTTTACAAAGAATCTCACAGTGCATTTATATCTGCAAAGATTATTATTTCGATTGTTCGAGCAATCTTGCGACCACATTAAAACGTTTTAATTAAAAAAGAACGTTATAATTACCGTTAGTATATTTTAATATTTAGTTACTTTAAGCTATGTTCTACAAAGGGTTATTTGCGTTATTAAAATTTATGTATCCACAAATTTTGGTAAAATTCAGTTTATGATATAACATTAATGAGCAAATTTATGTGTGAATATAATGTGAAAGTTAATTGTTCGAATTTCATCAGAAACCTGATATCTAAAATTTATTAATGCGAACTGCTTTTATTATTACACTAATTTAAATTGCATGGTAAATACAGCATTTAAATGATAGTTTCTGATCAAAATCGAATAATTTTTCGCGCCATTCATTAAACCAGATGAATCATATAAAATTTAATTACTCAAAATCATTGGATCACAAGACATCATCAATTTGTCAATATACTCCATTTCCCTAAAGTTGAGTTTTTTTTATATTCGATCATATCACATCAAAATAGTTTACTGTACTATTATTCATTTTTGAACATTTTATGGCAGATAAAATAATTTTTTTTATCAAATTAAACAGACTTCATCAAATGCTCTTATCTAATACCATTATATTACCCTAGATTTAATTCACATATTTTTGATGATACAATATTTTATATAAATTTTAAACTCCAAATTTCGCAATTTGCATAAATAAGTTAAACCAATAAGATTTTTAGTTATATTAAATTTCCTTATAGCTAAATAATCAACTGGTTAAATAGCCACTTGGTTTTTTCACAGAGACATAATTTGATTATTATATCTAAGGAAATTAAAGTAATATATTCACAACAAGCCTCAGCTTCTAGTAAGGATGTTATTCCAATCAAGATCCAAGGAGATTAAAGTAGTATTATTGCGAAAAGCTTCTGTTAATTCTTCTTCTCCTTCAAAATCAAAATGGTTATCGTAAAGGAACAAAGAAGTTAGTTTAGTGTTTTTATAAAGAGCTTTTGATAACACCTTTACCTCTTTAGTCCCAAGATGATTTTCATTAAGGTCTAAAGAGGTTAAAGCTATATTTTTATCAAGGGCTTCTGCTATCAGTTTTACCCCTTCAAACCCAATTTCGTTATCTCCAATATTTAGAGAAATTAAAGTAGTGTTCCTGTAAAGTGCTTCTATTATCACTTTTATTCCTTTATAACCTAGTTTATTAGAATAAAGATCTAAGTATTTCAACGAAGTGTTCCTATACAGTGCCTCTGCAAGTGCTTTTCCGCTTTCAAAATTAATGTCATTAAAAGTAAGATCTAAATATGTCAATGTGGTATTTTTGTAGAGTGCTTTCGCAACTGCTTTTATTCCTTCATTACCAAATTCATTAATTGGAAGACTTAGGGAGAATAACGATGTATTTTTACCAAGAGCCTCTGCTAGTACATTTGCATCTTGAGGACCGAGGCGACAATTATAAAGTCTTAATGAGGTTAGGTAAATTTTTTACAAAGTGCATTTGCTAGTGTTCTTATTTCTTCAAAACTAAATTTAATTTGAGAAAGGTCTAGTAAAGTAATAGTGGCACTTTTTAATAGTTTTGTTACAGCGTTATTGTTTATTTTATCTGCAAATACATTCCTAATTTTATCACCTGTTCGTAATAACATTGCAACCAACGAATCTTTAATTATTTGAACCATCTTCTCGGATTTTTTATATATATCATAATATTCATCAAAGTCGTGAGGTTCATTTCCCTCAAGGCAAAGCCAGTTTACGATTCCTTTTTCTAATTTATAGGATTTAATCCATTCAGTATAATATGTATATTCAAATAATGGCTTTGGACCATTTAAAGGTAATATATTTAATGAGATCAATGGAGCCTTTTCTTCATCATTCAATAATAAAAGGTATATTCTTATAATTCTTATATCTTCACAATATAATAATGATTCTCTCCACAATATTCGAACAACATTTCTACACCATTGACGATTTACAAGAAGACATGAAAATAAGGATTTATAATTGTTTTTAAGATTATTAAATATTTCAGAAAGATATTCATTTGGCAAATAATTCATTTTAAAAACAAGTTTGTGTGTTCATAAACGAATAATAAATTACAGTATTTGACAAAAAAGTAACGTACGTACTGTACGTACGTAATAAAATGGCGCATTTATCATCCAGAGTTAGCGGAGGACATTATTAAAACTTGCGAAACTAAATGCATGTCATATATTTGCGCTAACGCTAAATAATTTTTTTTAACTGTATCGGTAAAAGTCTGAATCACAGCCATTCATGTACGTACGTACCAGGAACGGAAGAGTATGGTTTACTGGCAGGTGTGTCTCTTTTGCATCTGATTGGATGGATGATCCTTCCCCGTGATTTCTAAATTTATATATGAGGCTTTTTTACATTAAAAAAAAAACGGGATCCAAGCCATAAGGCTCGGGAGGAATTTAATAAATGCCAATTCGGGTTTGGCTTGAGGCGAAGCTCCATTGAAGAACAGTAGTAAGGCGCCTCTATGGTGAAAACTAAAATCATAATCATGAAAATGAATTACTCATCGTTAATCATAGATTCTCCCCGATATTCTAAATAGTCATATTGCTTGGAGATTCTCAAAGCTCTCTGTAATTTATTCGATTTCATGTATCTGAAAAGTAGTGAAATGTTAGAATAAAAAAGTCCATCTAACAATAAATTCCGAGAATCCTAGTGGCAGTAGAATCCTTGGTTCTCAGACCAAATCTTCCACGCCTTCTTTCGAGCAGCCTTTGATTTTTGTTGTGTTCTAGGCTTGAGTACTAGTCACTCCAAATCTGCCCTTTTACAACATATGTAAAAATATTTCAATATTTCGTTGATGAATAAATCTGGTATACGTAAGAACGGTGTTTTTCGACAAATTAGTACATATAAAAACTATGCCAAACAAATCAGAAGAATGGTTTGAAAAAGCTATTTTCGAAGGGCATATTGATATATTGAATATAATAAATTTACAGATCCTATTGAGATCGGCACTGGAGGTTTTGGAAGTTCTTAAATATGAGTGGAGAGATAACAAACTAACCGTTGCTCTTAAATGTCTTAAAGTTGATAAAGATCACAGATTTCGGTCTATCGAAGCAAATAAATGAAATATCTAAGGTTAAAACCGCTTATGGAATGCCAGTATATGATCCCAAGTATAGGCGTATTAAGAAATCTGATGTCTATAGCCTTGGAGTAATTCTTTGGGAAATTTCAAGCAGAAGACATCCTTTGATTCAGAATTTAAAATTGCCTTCCATATGTTAAGGGGAAACATAGAAAAGCCTATAGAAGGTACTCCATCTCATTGTATTGAACTTTACACGAAATGTTGGGGCAGCGATCCTGCTAATCGTCCAGAATCAAGAGTAATTCTCAATACTTTAAGACAATTTCTTCCTGGCACTCTTGGAAATTCGAGAAAGGGAGCATGCGAATGTTTTAACCAATGCAAATTTCTTGAAGCATTAGAACTTTTTGAAGAAATTCTCAAAAACAGTCAGCATACTAGTCGGGTGAAGTTTTGGCCACCCGGATGGAAACGAGTAATTGCAAGACTTTACTAAACTTCAATCAATCAAAAAAAAAAAAACTTTTCAAAATGGACTAAAAGTGTTCTAAAGCATCCATTCAATGGATCGGAGGTAAATTTTTAAACGTTGCCATTTCGATCAGATACAACCCACCAAAAACTTACTATTGATAAAGGTCGCTCAAGAATTACTTTACATTTTTACATATCAAGCATAATAAAACAATGAATTCTCAGTAAATTTCTACCCGACCCAAAAAAAAATTATTAATGATAGGGACTTTTAAAACAAAATATATACCAAGGATATAACTATTACTTAGAAATATATTTGTATATACAGTATTTTTACCCGGATGGCTTTTTTAACCCACCCGGGTTCTACCCAGGTGACGTTTTTTTTGACGGGTCCAATCACTACACAACATACAATTATATATAGTGTTACTTTTTTTTTAAATATATTATTTAAGAGTTACATATATTATATATCAGGTTAATATTATGTTTTAATATGTTAAAAAATACTTTCAAGTGAATTTAGATTAAAGTAGAGGCTTAAATTTTAAAATCAGCCAATTTCAGGATTAGCCATAGCTATTAATAAAGAGTAAGGCTTCGCTAGTAGTAAATCATTTACAACTGACTTTCGTTAGAACGAGAATTATGAATCTCGGAATTATTAAACTTCGACTCGATATAATAAAATACATATAAGTGAAACTTTCTTTCAAACGGATGGCTTCACTATAACAAGAATTATTTGTATTCATGGATTGGATTTTCAATTTATTCATAGTTCTTGAAATTAGTTTATCAATCTATATTTTCAAATCTGGTAGCTGACTTATTATTAGTTGATGATCAAAAATATCTTTTTCACTGCTGATATGGAATAATGAACTAGCTTTATGCAATATATTATCTGCTTCTTCGGTCTTCTAATTTAATTAATTGATTAATTTGAATGTAAAAAGGAAAATAATTAATTACATGTCAATACTTACTTCTTTCAAATCTTTTTTAAGGTAATCGTCTATAAACAACGAGGCAAATTCGTGTGATTTCGAATTTTTGGCGATGAAAAACTCGAACGCCTAAAATAAATAAAATAAATAATATTTTCATATACAATTAAAATCCACGCTGTTGATGAACTCACCTCATTAATAGCAGTTTTGAATGATTCGTCGTTAGACAATGCCAAATTCTGAATTCTATCAAATTTGTCTTTAAGATCCAGAACTTTCTGGACCCACTGTATTGCTACAGAGGTTTCAGTTTGTAGATCACCTTCAGTGGTAATATTTTCGGTGGTCGTTGTTATAGTAGCATTATTAGAAATGATTTCATTTATTGTCATACCAAGCCCTTGTATGTAATTGCTAATAGCGTTTTTCATCTCTTCGTGACCGTTAGCGACTCGACCAAATAATTTATACATTTTTCCAAGATCTTTTGTATAACATAACCGAAGATTTGAAATGTTGATGAAAATATTATAACATCCAAGACAAATATTTAAATAAACAAATTTCTTTACCATCCAGTTTTTCATTTCTTAACATGAAAATTAAACCCGAGTTTTCCATCTAGATAACTAGAGTTAGAATTGCGGAAATGATGTGATATTTAAGTATAAATTGTGTACATTTATTACCTCAATGATGGTTTTAAAATGTTTAGCAATAAGTTCTTCTTCCACAATATTGCTAATTTTAGGTCCTGTGGTTTGCGAAAGGTAAGCGTGCACACGTAGATCCTCTTCATTAAGACGATTTTCAACCTAAATAAATACATGAATGATAAATTGTTAGAGTCGATTTTATGAAATAAGAATTAAAAATGAGTTTTAATGTACTTTTTTCATAAATTCCTGCGCATCATGTTCACTTATGAGCATTTGACCTTCAACTCGATAGTATTCAGAACTTGATTCCAGAAATCTACCTTCAAAATCAACTGCATAGACTGTATCCTTCTTATTTGTATCAGTTAACTCGAGCAGCATGTCCATCAATGTTTTGATATTGGAACGATCAATGATCTCGTTTTCACGTTCAAGAAGGATTTGATTCAAAAGAGCATCCAGAAGATGACTTTGGATAGGATATTTTGTCGATCGAATTATTGTATCCCTAAAAAGCTCTAATCCTAAATTGTATGTTGGAGGAACGTTTTCATCTTTGGAATATACACGATCCTTTAAGCATAATGAATTTGGTATGATTTGAAGTAATTAGAAAATGTTATATAACACATATGTTTTAAAAAAATGAAAATGCACATAAATTAATAAATTACCATAAACGTAAAAATGATTTCAATCAAACGCATACATGTTTTATGATCTTCCCAAACATTCTCTAACACTTTTAAAAAATTTACGCCACCATTTGGAAAAGCCGGAATGATTTGCTCTTCGACCACTTTTTCTAAATGTTGAGTAATAATTCCTCTTAAACCATTGTATAACTTGTCTCCATTTTTGTGAAGGACCATGTTATAAGCATTGCGGTAGAGTTCCTCGATACTTAGGGTCGATGAATTTTTTCTTTGAATTTCTCGGATGCCTTGTGCTAGACGCTCCCAATTATCGTTAAATTTACTATCTGCAGCAACCTGAAGACGATGATGTAAATTTAGTTTTAATTCTATTGAATATAAGGGTTTCGGAATTAATGATTCGACGTCCGATTTCAGATAAATAAGCAACGTATTTATTTCAAAATAAGCGACGTATTTATTTCAAAGTAAGTACCATATTATTTCAAAAGAAGTGACATATAGATCTTATTTTTTTAAAGTATATATTTATTTGTATAATCGCTGACCAGTAAGCATTTATTAAAAGAAGCAAGCTAATTTTATCACTGGCTACGGTTACACCTATTTAATTTTCTGATTTGGATTTTAAAACAGGAAACATGAGTTAATTCTGAAACCTCAATACGTACTATTAATTATATAAATGGTTATTCAATCGTTGAACAATTCCAAACCATATCACTAATATAATCCATAAAGAGCTAAATATTTTATTGCAAAAATAAACTCACCGATCTTTTTGGCGGCTTTATCTTGGACCGACTTTTCTGAGCATTCATAACGATAACTTAGCAAATTGAAAGTACTGTATGAAACAGTAAATGTAGATGACTAGGCTTTTATTTTTATTTGTTACATCATTTTGCTATTTAGGAAATTCATATGGTCACAAATTTCATTTGTTCAAGCGTCTTTGCGCTTTGATGACGAAATTACGTTTTTGATCATCTTACGGATATAACACTGAAATTATTTAATGATATGCTATAAGATTTTTCGGAGGCCAAGTCCACTAACCTTTGCAAAACATATAAACTTATGCGAGCTTCGCCAAATAAAAAACCGGAAAGTCTATTATGTATATATTATCATATTTAGACTTCATATTATATATGCGTGTATATAAAATTTAGCACTAATTTCCAATTCTTAATTATTTAGTCTCTCTTGAATATCTTAATAGGGTGATTCAGAATTAAGGCTCAGGCTTCTGATTTTGAATTTAATTCGAAATCATGATTCACAATCTTATTTATATTTTGATTTGTTTAGTTAGTTGTTAGTTAGTTATTAGCGCTTAGAATAAATCTGTAATACGTTTTAATTGCTAAAAATGTTTATTTTTGGTAATTGATGTTCTTCGTTTTTGCTTTTAAAGGAAATTTTTGGTTTCACCAATTTCAACCGATTGTAAGCGTTATCGATAGCTATCGATTAAAACAACGATTCGATGCGCAGCGCTAGCGCAATACCGCTCAAATTTTTCGCGGTTCGAACAATAGTTCAATATATACTAAAAAAAAAAAAATAACGTGATGAAAAGAAAAAAAAAAATAACATAATCACAATTAAGTTATCGTACTGTACGCTAACTAAATTAAGAGTAAAAAAAAATTTTTTAGGACTCCATTCATTATTCTGATACTGCACTCGGGATTCGTATTTACTATATTAGTAAGTATCCATTTACTATGAGTTATTCCTTACTCTTAACTCATTCTTATATTTATCCGACAACAATAAATAAAAACTTACTACATTAATTACCAAATAATTAAAGGAAATAATGCTCTAATCAACGAATCTGTTCCTACATCTGAAACTTCATTCATAATTCCTTATTACTCAATATTGTTATTAATAAAAAAAAAATTCGCTTACACTTTAATTTATCAGCCCTTTGCCTAAAAAAAATAATTTCATTAATGTACAAAAAATATATATATATATATATATATATAATAACAAAAAAAAAAGTGCTTTAACGACCCCGTTGATACTGAACTTAATTCTTTATTTTAATTTTAAAATTATCCGATTAGCTCAAAAATAAAAAATTAATTACAAACAAGTACAAACAAAAAAAAATTATTTATCAATTACTAACTCTTCTATATACTATTTAGATGAACTTAAGTCTATTTTTTTAAAACGTAAAATATTAAGCGCAAATTACTAAATTTAAAGACCTTATTAAACCTATTCATGCTCGCAAAAAAATAAAAATAAAAATAAAAAAAAAATAAAAAAACATTTATAGTAAATCTTTTGCAATTCACAAAAAAAAAATGTCAAATTAAAAATTATTTACCCTTTAATATTATTCATGCTTACAAACGTGAGAAAACTTACTACTATATTCAATATATAATTCTCATTCGAAACATTCGCACAATTAGCAAAAATAGCAATTTTTTTTTTTTTTTTTTTTTTTTTTTTTTTTTTTTTTTTTTAACTCGCAGTCTAATGCTACGGTACGCTGTTAGCGTCCAATTTACAAACTAAATTTATTATGAATTTATACTTTAAAATTCATTTACATCATCTTCG